CTCACACGCACGCGCACACACACACACACACACACACACACTCACACACACACACACATTGCTTTAGTTTGAATTATTTTAGTACTTGAAGTTAAACTAATCAAAAATGTAAACAAAAAATGTTGGCTTGGCAACTAGCAGAAAATAAAACATTTTATAATTAATTTTATTTCAGTTAACATTTATTTCATTTTTGTGTTTTTGCCAGTTTCGTTATTTTTTTATGTCTATATAGTTGTATTCATTTTTTTTTTATTTCAGTTTTAGTTTAAATTATGTTCGCATTTCAAGTTAAACTAATAAAAAATTAGAAATGATGGCGTCATTAATATTTAAATAAATAAATAAATTTATTTAAGGCCATGAGGGACATGTAATGCATTTAACCTGCAGTTACAAATGCATAAATAATGTTTTGATATTTTAAACATAAAACGTTGGCAACTGATGTTTGAAATTAATTAAAAAATTAAAAGATACTTTAAATGTGAAATTAAAACAATTAAAACCGCCAGTAGGTGGCAGCAAGTCACTGTTAATAAGTGAGTCATTGCGATTGAACCGAATCATTTAAATGTTTGATTCATTCAGGAACGAATCACCGTCATGTTGCTCAGAGACGCAATACAAATATGTGTATCGTTACACCCCTAATATATATTTATATTTATATTATTTTTTTTATAAACAAATACATATTTTTAATTTATCCAAAATGTATTTTCTTGGCTCTTGAAGTACATTTTGTTTTGTATTTATTTATTTTTTTTGTTTGTTTGTTTAGTTTTTTATTTTTATTTATTTATTTATTTTGCTTTTGAAGATTTAAACAAGCTGTGTATTTGAAATACATTCTGATCAGATATTTCTGCCATACGAGTTGTCTGGTTCTCGGGATGTTTGCACTCACTGGACGTTTGATTTGTGCAGGAGTTAATTATCATCTGTTCACCGCAATAGAAGAACATGCTAAAACGCATTAATCAGACATGTTGAGCTGATGCTGTTCTGAATGAAACACAGTGACTTTTAAACAGGACAGCGGTGTAGAATTATGGGTAGGGGTCAAAGGTCATCAGTCAGGGTGGTTTGCATGTAACGTTACACCTTAAATCAGTGCAGTGATGGAGAAATCAGAGGCTGGTCGTATGCTCGCTCGTATGATCTCCAGCGTAAATGCGGTCGCTTCAGTCCTCCGCAGCGTTTCGAAGAGGAATGGAGATGTGTATCTAGTGTTTCCTTATTTTTGTGCAGGAAAGCACGGGCTTGTTGACTTCCTCTCCCTCCCTTCCTTCCTTCTCTGCGAAGGTACTCATCTGAAAAATGAGAACAAAGTGATTGTTCCTGTTCTCTTTCTTAAGTCACTTCAAATGCTGTTTGTGCGGCTGGAGCTCATTGTGAGGAGAGCCGAGCAGGAGACAGGTAAGAGACCACACACACACATGCGCTTTACAGGTGCATGTGTTCAGTCATGGATCAATATGGATTCTGTAATGATCAAATGTTCATATGATCCGCTCACATGCTGAAAATTTACTTCAAAATATGCCTGTATTTAAAAAAATAACCTCCATAACAGTTCAAATATTTGTATTTTTCAGATGATATAGCTATCAATATACATGTATAAAATATACTTATATTTCCTGAATTTCATCTATTATCAAATGTTCACATGATCCGCTCACATGCTCAAAATATGCCTGTATTTAAAAAAATAACCTCCATAACAGTTCAAATATTTGTATTTTTCAGATGATATAGCTATCAATATACATGTATAAAATATACTTATATTTCCTGAATTTCATCTATTTTCAGTGTATATGGACTACACACTGCACAGTATTTGTGTCTTGTTTTCCAGTGCAAATATCTAAAGATTCTGAATTCAAGAGATAATTATTTGAGATGAAAATTTGCATAAGATAACAGATCTTATTTTCTGGAAAATAAAAGATCAAAATGAACTTAACTTGTGCTTTAAACAATAACAGATGTGTGTCAATGTGGACAGAAAAATACACTTGTTTTCCCTTTGAATTCAGTTGATTTTTCTGAGTCCTTTGGCAGATATTTGTTTTGTTTTAAGCATAAACTCTCTTCATTTTGCTATATTTTTCAGAAAACATATTTTGCTTCTTAAATCAATCTTAATTTAAGGATGTTTAGATATCTGCACCGGAAAACAAGACAAAAATCATTTTTTTCCAGTGCAGATTTTGGCTTTATATTAAACTGCATGTTTTAGTTGCACAAATAAGATCTAATATGCAACATGCATATTAGATCATCGTGTATTATGCAAAGGAAAACACTCTGTATTTAGTGCATGTTTAGTTTGATTATGCATGTGAATTCTTGGTTTGAGGATAGTTTCTGTCTGCTGTCAGTGTTTGTGTCATTAGGATGTCATTCATCTGTTTAAAGCAGAAGTATTTGGTGTTGTTTGCATTAGTTAGGCTTGTTTTTGAGCCGGACTGTATTTCCCTGCTGTGATAGTTTGATTGTAATCTGCTCAAATGACAGCACTCGCTAATGGCTTGTAATGAAAAAGAGAAGTTCCAGTCCTAATGCAGTGAAAATGAAACACAGAGGAACAGCAGAGAGGAAGAGACTGATTCGGTTCACACTATTCCAACAAACACTGACAGATTCGATGAAACCAAAAAAGCTGCTGTTTTCTGGAGCAGTGTGAATCAGACAGGAACACAATAGTTAATAACAAAGCCAGTGAAGATCTCACTTAGTGTTTTTCAGTGCAAAAACAATCTTAAATGCATTTACTTGAGAAGCAAAATGACTGTAAAATCTGAGAAATGCATTAATGAGTTTATGCTTAAAACAAGAAAATATCTGCCAATGGAGTCAAAGAATGAAAATAAAATTCAAAGGGAATACAAGATTATTTTTTGACACCCATTGGCAGATTTTGTTCTTGTTTAAAGCACAAACTCAATTTTGATTAATTTTTAAGACGAGATATCTCTAGTTATTTTGCATCTAAATGTATCTTGATTTAAGAATGTTTCGATATTTGTACTAGAAAATGACACAAAAATACTGAGTAAGAGCATTATTTTTTGCAGTGTGTGGTGTTTGCGACACCAAGATCGGGGGTTTGATTCTCAGGGAATGCATGAACTGATCAAACGTGAATGCAATGCAAATCGCTTTGGATTAAAGCCTCTGCCAAATGCAATAAATGGGATTTAGTTCTAATTTACAACAAAGTCAGTCAAGACCAATTCATCACAATGCCTTCATATATAGCTGCAAATGATTATCTTGTGTTTTCCAGTACAAAACATTCTTGTAAAATAACTGAAAAATCTGAAAACTGAGTGAGTTTATGCTTAAAAAGGGAAAAATAACTGCCAGTTAATTCAAATTCATTATATTTATTATTTCATTTATTCTTGTTTTAAGCATAAACCCGCATAATTTTGATGCATTTTTCAGACTGAAGTCATTTTGCTTCTCAAGTAAATGTATCTTGATTTAAGGATGTTTAGAAAAAAACAAGACAAAAACGCTGAGGAAGAACATCTTTTTTTTTTTTTTTGCAGTGGGGCTTGCAACGGCAAGGTCAAAGGTTCGATTCCAGGAATGCATGAACTGATCAAACACGAATGCAATACAATTGACTTACGATAAAAGCCTCTGCCAAATGTATGAAAGCAATAAATGGGATTCTAATTTACAACAAAGCCAGTGAAGATCAATTAACCAGGAACACTGCAAAAAATGACTTTCTTAATTAATATTTGTGTCTTGTGTTCTAGTATAAATATCTAAACATTCTTGAATCAAGATGCATTTACTGTGCAAGTAAAATGAATTGAGATATTACATCTTGTTTTCTTTATATTTATACTAGAAAACAAGACAAAAACACTGCTATGTGTGACAAAAACACACACATAATTTATTTTGCAGTGAATGCCTTCCTATAGCTGCAAAAATGATTATCTTGTGTTTTCCAGTACAAAACATTCTTAAACCAAGATGCATGTACTTAAAAATCTTAATAACAAGGTTATATTTATTACCCCGTTTTTTCTTGTTTTAAGCATAAATTTACTTTTTGATGCATTTTTCTCAGAAAACAAGACTTGTCTAGATGTCTAGATATTTGTACTGGAAAACAAGACAAAGACACTTGAGTAAGAACATAATTTTTGCAGTGGCGCTTGCAACGCCAAGGTCAAGGGTTTGATGGAATGCATGAACTCAAGGCCGTAACCATGTCTTGAACATTGGGGGGGACATATATATATATATATATATATATATATATATATTCATTTATGTGACACACACACACACACACACACACACACACACACCACACACACACACAAACACACACACCACTCGCACACAGAAACATTCAGGAGCACAGAAACTTCCTGTCAACGCTGCCCCACGACTTTTATTAATACCATAGCTTCAATACTGAATCTCTACATTATATTTCTCAGCAACAAATAAAAGCTGTTTTTGAAGTAAACTCACAGCTTTATTGTTTGTAGAGAGAGACGCACAGATTCACACACAAAACATTCATCACTCTCTCTCTCTCTCAAAAGTTGAGTAGTTTGCATCACTAGATATAGCTGTCGGTCATTTAACATTTCTATCGTTCTATTTTTAATTATTTGCAACTTCCATCTTACCTCGCTCTCTTTCAACGTTAAACTGATGCTTTGTGCTGGAAGTCGCGCTCTGCTTCTGTGAACAGCAAACCTCGCCTACTTTGATTTGATTGGCCATCTCAATTATTTTGACATTGACCAGCGCTGTTAGCCCGCTGAGGCAGACCAGGATGAAAATGTCACTTTTACACCTTTTTGGCATCTTAAAAAACAG